CAAAGCTCTTTTTGCATGTCAGACAAAACGGTACAGTAGGATGAGGGGGCTTCAGTTAACCCTCTAAACACCAAGCAGGTTCTGGGCGTTTTTTTTTTTTTTTTGCTCCCGTCACATTTTTACTTCCTGTGAGCTCATTTTAACTGCAAGATAAATCTCTGCATCTGGATGGAAACGGCCCGACAGTGGCCAGAAGTAGAGAGAACTCAGTGATGTCGTCTGTGCAGTGTGACACAGCTGATGCCATAAATCATTCAAAATATATTTATTTTACAAAAAAAAAAAAAAAAAACTTCAAGAATTTCCTACAGGATTCGTTATGTTCTGAATTACTGTTATTACAACTTTTGTCTTAAGTTCCCCCAAATATTCGCAATGCCGGAAAACTAATTGTGGCTCCACATACTGTAGATATTGTTCTACTTTTAACACTTTTTATTTGTTTCCACACTTGTCTCATATTTGCTCTGTGTAAACACATCCTGGAGTTCAGCTGAATACACCCCAAAAGTCAAGAGTCACTGGTAGTTTCATGGCAGCATTGCACAAATTTAATCTTTTTTTTAATTCAACTTTGCCCCTTTTTTAATTGGGCCTTGCGTTAGGTTTTTTTTGTTAAATTTTCCCGTTTTTAGGTTTAGTTTTTGCCGGGTTTTCAACCGGGTTATCCCTTCCCGGGGGGTTGTTAAGGAGGTTTTTTGGGGTTTTTTTTTTTTTTTTTTTTTTTTTTTTTTTTTCCTTGTTTTTCCAAACTCACCGGTGGGTTTGGGGTTAATAAATGGTGGGAAGACACAGATTAGCAGCGATTTTTGACATGCATGCAAACACAAAGGTTAAGGTTTGAAAGGTTTCCTGTTTTAAAGCCAGACACATCTCACTATTAATATTTATAAATATAAAATCCCAATAATCTGCATTAGAAGTCAGTTTTCTATAGCTGATATTTTTTTAGTCAAACTTAACGTGCAGATTCACAAACATCATCGTTTGATACCGCGACCCTAAAAAACACACGTTACCAACAGCAGGTTCCCTTCCCGATATGACGACATCATTTCATCCATCTCGCTATTGATTCAAATGCCCCCTCCCCTCCCCAGCACCCCCATCCACCTAATCTCCCCGTCCTCCTCCTCTCTCCTCCAACACCTCCCCCAGCCTCAATTGCTCCATATCTCCATCCATCCTCCCCTCTTTCTCCCCTGGTGACTACCTCACCCCCCAGGCATGGCAGCTGTGTTCTCCTGTAGGCATTACATCACTGCAAGAGCAGCCTTGTTACTGATCCCCTGACAACCAGCGCTATCAACACACACACACACACACACACACACACACACACACACACATACACCAATACACATGCACATACACACACACACTTGTGCACCGACACATATGCTTGTATTTGCGTGCATTGGAGCAAATAACTGTCCATCCTGTCCCTATCCCTTGTGGCGACGTCCTCTCGGTCTTCCTCTCACCTTTGCACCGTTCATCCTCCTCACACGTGGGTGCACACACACACACTATAACACACACACACACACAGTATAACACACACACACACACACACACACTATAACACACACACACATTAAACACACACACATTAAGTCACAGTCTTCATCACCCTAACCTGCCCTATCCAGAGAATGACGTCTCCCCTTCCTGTGATATCTTGACAGATGATCCGTGGTGTAGGATGACACTCCTGTTGCTGCCTGTCTCAGTGGGGAGGGAGGGGGCCGCATGCTCTGATGAAATATATTAAATGGAAGACAAAAAAAAAAAACAAGATTTACATTAGCATGTCGGTGCAAGCTCACCTGGATGAGCATTTTCTTAAGAAGTGTGCTGGGTTTTCCAGAATAATTGCTTGCATTGCTCATTGTGACTGAGATAAATGAGTAAAACAGTCTCACTGCTGTCTTCAGAACTGTATAATAAGTAAAGTAAACAAGTATATCTATTTGTACACATACATATTAGAGCTGGCATAATTTGTCTATTAATAGATTGGTTATTTAACTTAACATTAATCAGTCTTTTAATCATTTGAGCAATTTATCTAACAAAAAACTTAAATAATACCGAGTTCTCAGTGGTGAGGACGTGCTGCCTTTCTTTGTCTTATGTGAGGAAATCTTTTGGTTTGACTATCATTGGCCAAAATATATAAACATATCAAATTTAAAACATATAGTGTTGTCACAGATTTATGTTAAAAAAAAAAGAAACTGCACTTGCTCTGCTATTGTGGAGGCTTTAGAAAGGGTTTATCAGGTCACACCTGTCAATTTTATTTATAGAACCATTCGAAAATCACAAATTAGTTTCAGAAATGTCTCTTAAAGCCTCTTTTTGGAACACCTGAAATCAGAAAAGGGCAAAGAGTTCACTAAATAAAATAAAACAAAAGTACAAGTATCAATAAAAGATGTATTTAATGTGAAATAAAACAGGGTAAACCTCACAAACATGGACAAACATGCAATATGGAGAAACAAAATCCAATTATTAGCTTAATGATACATTAAATATACATAAAACTTTTATTTAAAGATGTTAGCAGTGGTACAACTTTACAGATAAATAACTAGATACTCCAAAATCTTAGCAGTAGTGTGAATTCAAACATGTCCTTTCCTGCTTTCTGCAGTAGTGACAAATTAAAATATGCCTTTTAATCAAAACAGCGTCCACGTTTCTCGTGCCTTCAGGTTTGGAAAGCGGTCCCAGCTAGTTCTGAGGCCCCTTTGGCCTTTACTCACCTTCTCGCCCTCCGTCCTATCCCACTATCTCAGACTCATCCCCACCTCTCTCGCTGTCTGTTTTGGCGGATCTCTGTGTGTGTATGTGTGTGTAAACTGAGCGTTGTCCCAGTAACAAGCCCTGCGCCATAAAAGCACGCTCTAAATCTAAGAGAGAATTTCAGAGGAGGGGGTGCCCGGAGTGACCGTCCCACCTATTTCTGTCGCAGCAGGGCGCACATGTGCAGTCAATAAAAAAGGCCTGGCTGTCATTTATAGCATCTTGGCTGTAATCCTCTAATTAACACACCTACTATTCTGAGCCTTGTTACCCTGCTGAGGACTAAGAGGAGGAGGAGAGGGGCATAAAGCGAGTGAGGGCACGATGTTTGCTTTAGGAACTAGAAAGAGTCCCGACCATTAAAACATCAGCCAGCAGCTACTTTGTTTTGTTGCTGTTGGCTTCCACCGCTGTGGGTTTGCAGGTGTTAGGAAGTGGTGTGTTTCAAAAAGCTGGTTTATGGCTTCGAGCCACACCGGCAGAACAACGAGGTGTGGATTCAAACCGGGGTGATGAGCGGCGCGTTTGAAGTGTAGTGACCCCGGTTGACCACTGTGGAGTGCCACACCTGCTCCGACCGGCTGCAGATGGGCAACAGTGTGCGTGAGTGTGTATCACAGTGGTGTGTGTTTGTTCCCGGCTTGAAACCCTCCCAAAACCAATGTCTGCATGTTTCACAAAGCTCATCATAAGCAAAGTGACCTATTTCCTCTCGCTCCCTCTCCCCCGGTTGAACAGAGGGTGACGTAAGGCTGTTCTCACCCGTGTGCGATCATTCAGGGGTCTGCGGTGATGGGATGAGGTCAGTCAACGCGCAGCTGGCCCCCTAACTGGACATCTTGTATAAGCTTATGTGCCTTTTTTTAGGGCTGAGCAATGAGTTAATGTACTTGAAGCCCATCTGACCTGGTTTGGATGTAATCAGCGTACCGTGATGTCTCAACCTGAGACTGAACAGGCAGTCGGGGGGACTTCTGACCGGCCTGCTCACAGCAGGTGCTGTTTTTAAAATTCTGTTGTATTTATATCTAGCAGGCAGTTGATTGACATAAAAGGCAGCTCAGCAGAACCATCATGCTCAGACTCGACTCTTTTTTAAAAATATGTTTGTTGCGTACATGATTGATTAAATGTTCACAGCAGAATACAAAACCAGAAGCAAGTTTTCCTGTGTTTATATGAACAATTCTGCATTTTAGAACAGCCATGCTCGCATCATAATTTCTTCAATTTCTGTCTCCTCCAGTAGTTTAGTCCTGTACTGCTTTGTTTCCATAGCTGGACTTGTGGCCTACATGTTTGTCATTCCATAGTAAAGTACCAGGAGCCTGTGGCCTGTCAGATGGATGATGGCTGCCGACCACGAGCTTGTTTGGTCTTCTCATCACCTCTGGTTCTTTTGTCTGCTTTCATTTCATTTTTTCCCTCCGTACTTCTGCTCAGCTCTACTTTCTTTCTCTCACTCCTCCTCTCTCCTCACCTCCCTGACTTTACATCCACGAAGACAAGAACAGGGTGTCCAAACACAGGCGCGTTAGACATGAACCAGCGCAGGAAACGTGGTGAAGTCACACACATTCCCTCACCTTCACAGACAAATCAGCTGTCAACACACTGCACAGTCTTAATCCCCCCCTCTGTGGTAAATGTAATGTGCTTAGAAGCTACAGTACATTTAAGGCAGTCAACTTAATGTAGGTATTTACTTTGAAATATTCCTCTTATAAATCTAATACAGATTGAGTCAGAAATCAAATTATTTCATTTAAAAAAGCACAATTCTGCATCTCAGCTGCTGTATTCCTTTTAAACAATTTGCCAGAAACAATCAAACACCACCTTACATGTTAGGAATCACATCTCCATGCACTATAAATTCTCTTCTCTGCAACTAACATCACAGACGCCAGTCAGTGTTGTAGCGACATGTACGCGTTCGCTAACGGCTCGAAAAACTGTGTCTCAGCCTCCATCCTGCCCTGATAGAGGCCTGCTTCTTAGCTAGGCCCCTGAGGTGGCCGCATATTTGCTGGGTGAGTAAGGAATGTGGTTACATGCCTTAGACATTAGCTATGACGGAGTGCTGGCTCCACAAGAGAGGGAGGTAGCAGAGGAGGGAGGGAGGGAGGGAGGAAGGGAGGGAGGCTGGGTAGAGTCTGAGCTCACGGCAAGTGAGCTCATTCACCCCCAGAGCTCGAGGAGAGAGTGCAGCTCCGTCATCCTCTTTGCAGAGAGACAGAGAGGAGGAGGGAGGCAGAGGGAGGAGTGAAGCCAGTGACTGAGCGAATGAGAGTCGGGCAGAGCGGAGCGGCACAACAATAGTGGGCTGCTCTTCTGGCTGTGGACTCACAGAGACAGAGAGAGCGCTCAGAGGAACACACAGACGCTCTGTAAACCAGCTGCAGGCAGATTACAGCTGGCGTTTACATACAGGCATTACAGGCTACTCACTTTTGTTTTTCCCCTCGCTGTCTCTGTGGCGACCATTCTTCGCGAAACCGCAGAATTACCAAATATTGACGCAGGAGCATTGTAGGAATTTTTGTGGTCATTGCATGGCATTTTGGCCATATGTTGACTTGAGGAACGTGGCTACAGACATTTTGGACTAGTTTTTCTTGTACTGTGTCCATTTCTCTGAGGGTCACTACTTGGACACTGGAACAGCCGACTCGACCAGAGTGGACTTTTGTGGACTTGGGGTTTTTTTTTGTACACTCGGACTGAGGGATCACCTCGATCAGCCCTCGAAGGAGAACAGTTCTGTTTGTTTGTTCTGACATTTTTTTGTGTGGCGAAGGGGTCGCTCCATCCCTGAAGGAAGGAGCAGCAGAACATTTGTTGTGTGTGTGTGTGTGTCTGCGTGAGACAGAGTGTGTTCTGGGGGATGCCTCTGGATGTGGTGATTGCCCCAGCGGAGGACTGTTTTTGGCCGGACCTGCAGGACACAGACATGAGGCTGAAGATCAGGGTCCGCCGGATGAAGGAGGGGAGAGAGCTTCGAGGTGTGTATTCACCTGGAGGAGAAGGGATGCGTGTGTGAATGTGTGTTTGCAGGTTAATAATCCTAGAAAATCCCTCTTAGGCGAGCAACATGTTGAGGATGGAGGCCTGTGTGTGTGTGTGTGTGTGTGTGGCGTACATGCAGAAGATGCATGGAACATGGAATGTGATTTATGATGTGGATTACGGAGCTCCTGGGAGCATAGCTGTAAAATACACTATTGTTGGATGCAAGTATGAAAGTTGTGTGCGAGGGGAAAGCCCCCGATAATGGGTTATGCGCTGCAGACGAGTACAAAGGTGCAGTGGACCCTCAGGTATCGATGTGTTCCAGTGCAGGCTTGCCGCAAATGAAAGATAGATGTGAAGTGAATTCTAAGGACGTGTACTGGATCAATAGTGAGATTTACTGCTACAACAGGCTGAAAGAATACGTCACGGGGAACAAGCCAAACCTGTTAATTGTTTTCCCACCTTTTGTTTGTGCAGTTAATTTGTTTAGAGAGGCAGAATAGGAAGAAGAGAGATTAAGAGGATGACATCATGAAGACGAGAGGCGATGAAGAGGAAAGCGAGGAGGGAAAAAGGGCTCTGGGGGGGAAGAATGAGAGCCGTGACCCGCGGTATGACATAGTGCTCATGCTCTCTCAGCCTGTGGTCATTGAGATGTAAAACTATCACAAAGGCTCTTTCTCTTTCTTCTCCTCTGCTCTTGGCTTTCTCTCTCGCTCCTGCTCACTCTTTCTCTCTGCAGAATGGTGTCTTGTGGAGATTATGTTATCAATATGTGTGCAGTGTGCACTGCAGGTGTTTAACATAACACCTTTTCACACAGAGCGATGAGGCAATGCAGAGCAATGGCACTGTGGAAAAATCCTTTTATGCAACAACACAGCAGCATGCATATTGCACAAAATATCTATTATCCATTACAATTATTCAGTGTTATTATTGGATTATTTAAGTAAAGTTTGTATGTAAACGCAGACTCTACATGAATATCAGGACATGTCGAAGCGCTGGGTCACAGCAGTTAGCACACCACCTCGCTACACCTGCCTTTCTTCACACTGTTCGTGCACGTGGACAAGCACAGCTTATGTCTACACAGACAGGTTTTGCTGCTGGAGGTGCCAAGTTCATTAGCTCAGATAAAGCCTGCAAGAAAATCACACGTTTGGCATCAGCGGGTGAAAATAGATCTGCGTGTGTCACAGGTACTGAGGCACTTTAACACATCGCTGTGGAAATAGACTTGTGAATGCAGCCTAAATTACAGGAGGGTTTATAGTCCTATATTGCAGTAACACAGCCCTGTTGAAACAGCCATTGCTCAAAGTGACATATTCCCGCTATCGGCCCAGCAAGATAAAGGAACAATAAACAGTTTAACCATCAGCCGAGACAACATGTTAATCATACAGTCGTTCCCGGCCCGTCATAAAGCTGACGCCGTGCGCCGAAAGCAATGACCTCATCCTACTTGCTCATTCGCGTTCTGTCAATCTCCACATTTCTGACAGACGCGGCGCGCTTTGCCCGCTAAAACACTCTCCTCATCGCTTCTTCGGGCTCCAGCACAGCCTTTGTGGAGCTGAGTGGGACATGTGTGCAATGATGTCATGTTGGGAGGGCTGGGAGGAGGAGGGGGGGTTCACATTCAGATGCTAATGTCCCCTCATAGTGGAGGGGACAGCTGGAGGGGCGCAGAGGATGGCGTCATGTCTCCCCTGATATGAACCACAGAGGAGAGCAATGGAGGGGTGCGGGGGTAGTTATTCAGGCAGATCAATGCCCCCGGGCTGTGGAGAGTTTTGTGTGTGTGTGTGTGTGTGTCCTCTCCATTAACAGACGAGTTAAAGAGGGCAACTGAAAGCAACACAGACGCACACACACAGACACACACAGAGGCGAGAGGAAGGGGGAGAGCTTGTATTGACAAGGCAGTCAATTGTACCAACGGCAGTGATGTAACAGCAGAGCTCCCATTAACCATAACCGCCAGGCAGGTGTTTCATGTGTCTCTCTCCATCTGGTCAATACCTCCACAATTCCTCCTTCATTCATTTTTAAGCTTTCTGCTGCAGTAAAGCTCCCAAAAAAAAGCCCGACTTTGATCCAAATGTCCTCCATTAAACACACTCTTTTTAACGGATAATAACCTGCACTTTCAGACTGAAATACAGATTTTATGTTAAATGCGGGAAATGACTGATGAGAAACGGGGGGGACCTCCGCTCGCTACCAGCGAACAAAGAAGGCCTGAGTGCTTGGCTCTGACAGGGCAAGAGAGGAAAATAAGCAGTTGCATAAATGATGAAGTGGGCAGAGAAAAACGGAAAAAGGAAGTCACCGCTGGCTAGCGCTGCCGATGGCGACACAGTGCCCTCTTTCCCGCTTGCGTGTTTTCCTTCTCCCTGAACTTTTTCTTCTTTCCTTCTTTCTTTCTTTTTTTTTTTTAGAATGTATGTTCAGACCTTGTGTTAGTCACATCCCGACTTCCAGTGAGTGACTGAAAATGACGTTTCGTTTTCGCGGAGGCCTTCGTTCCACAGACGCTGTAGGTTTGTGCTTCTCGTTAAATGTCGAGGGTTCATTTTTTTTTGCAGCTTATCTCTCGACTTGAACGTGGTTTCTGCTGATTATCGCGCTGCACTGAAGGTGAACTCATCTCTCCCGTTTGACTTTCTGATGTCATCTTCACTGACAGCTGGCCTGGTGTGTGTCACGGGGTATTTTCGGTGACCTCAGTGTGAGTGTACGCCGCGTTCATGTGTGCGCTCCGATTGGAATGGACGGATGTGTCATCGTTTTCTCGTGCAGAATGCGAGGCCGCGTCTCTTTGGGCTGTTTGGTGTGTCTATCTGTTTGGTGTGCCCTTGTGTGACACGCCGAGCCAACCGCCGTCAACATCACTGCCCCTGCCTCGTTGTCACGGCAACCCTAAGTAGACCGGGGTCAGGTGACGAGGTGACAATAACACGCTATCTCCTGTGTGACTAACGTCCATTAGCAGCCCGACCATGTAGAGCTTTGACTACAAGGAAGGTGTTTGTAATTGTGTTGACGTAATGTCGCTGCAATGTAATCGCTCCTTTAAAAAAAGCAGGCCGGCACACACAGTCCTGTTTTCTTATCTCTGACTTCAGCCCCTCTCCATGCCAGTAACCCCTTACTCACTTCCCCGCTCGCACACTGGCCGGCCTTCCTGCGCTTTTATGTTTATTTAACGCGAGATGAGGTCAGCTACAGTAATCACGGGTGTAATTATTAATCCAGACTCACGCAAGATCAAACGGGGAACATTTTTAGAGGGGCGCTTTCATTCATGTGTTCACAAACAGACTTTCTCCTGACTGTTACCCACACCGACTGGAACGTCCTGCCGTCTGTCCTTCTAACAACTCTCTAACAATGTCCTCACACAGAAAGGGAAATGGTTGCTGTGTGACGTGAGGCTTTTCCTGTTGATTTAACTGGCTCCAGGAACATACGGCTTCCTCGCACAGATACAGTATATACTATATGTAGCACTGTTTATTTATTTTTGCTTTTCCATGTGTGTGTGTGTGTGTGTGTCCTCCCAACGCCAGCAGCCTGGGAACAGAGAAACCAGGAAGAGATCCTTCAAAGAACCCTTCCTCTCTCTGTTCAATCAATTAGTGATGCTGTAGCACTGCCCACAGGATCACTCGAGAGAAGATCTGGTGGAAGTCGTACAGTTTAGCCCAAAGCCAAGTGTGAGATGTGTGTTTAGTCTACACAATGAGGGCCAAAACGGTTAGATCATATAGCTGGCGCTGGCACGGCAGCACTTCCTCGGCCTCTCCTTCTTTGCATTAAACTTTCCCTCCTGTTTCGTGTAACTTATCTGATCTCTCTTCCTGCATTCATCTAACCCTTCTCTCCACTCCACCCCCCATGTGGAGCGCTGATGTCATCGCTCCGCCGGTTGCCATTAATAGCTGGAAACAGACAGGCCTTCTTCACTTTGCTCTTAAAGGGGCAGTGCACCCAGAATAGCACTGGGTCATGAGGATGCACCCGGCGTCCTCGCTCTCCTCTGAAGCTGTTGTGAAATAGCTCCAAAGACCAAAGTTTTTGCAGCTTTTTTTTTTCTTTCTATCAACTCACCCAAGATCTCGTTCATGCCGCCGACACTGCGTGCTACATGAGCACAGCGGCTGGGTGTGTGTTACAGCGGAAGGCAGCGTCCTGTGTGCGCTACTTTAGAACAGTGATGTCATGTCTCACTCACTCTCACTCCGTGCGTTTTGCGAGTGTGCGTCGTGTGTGTGTGTGTGTGTGTGTGTGTGTGTGTGTGTGTGTTTCGGTGTGCAGCCCAGATTGGGTCAGGCAGGGCTGAACCTAGATTAGGTTCTAATCTCCTTTCTGTGGCTCAGGGTTTCCTTGAAGCACTCGCCCTCCCTTCTTCCTCAGCGAGGTCATTACCCACTCCTCAACACACACACACACACACACACACACACACACCTCACCCCCACCTTCCCTCGTTGTCCCCCACCCTGTAGTTATACAACCACTGTACTGCAGAGTAATGATGAGTGTGTGCATTTGTGTGTGTGTGTGTGTGTGTGTGTGTGTGTGTGTGTGTGTGCGCTTTGGGTGGAGAGGGAATTAAAGACAGTGAGAGTGAATATTAAGCATATGTCGACTGCAGGATTATGTGTCTTCTTCATCTTGTTAATATAAGTGTGTGTGTGTGCATGTGTGTGTTCTCGTGCATGCGTGTGTGTGTGTGTGTGTGCTGTGCGGTTGTCAGGGGGATGTTACTGGGCCTCTGTCCTGGCCCTGCACCTGTGGCCTCTCTCATTCCCCCAGCCTGACGCAATGCACTGCTACAGGACATGAGCTCATGCAGGAAACAGAGCCACACACACACACACACACACACTCGCATACACATATGCCAAAAGTGGAGCCGCCTGCCTCTTAAAGGGCCAGACGCGCATTCCTGGCCGCCCCGCAGTTAACCTAACTCACACACAGGAGCACAGAGAGCCTCATTTTTTGCTTCTGTTGCACTAAGCGGGACCCAGACGCCGTAGCCCAGATTCACCTCTGAAAAGTCTATTGAGCGTCCGTCTGCCCTGCAAACGCCGCGTTGTGCAATGTTCCTGGGAGTCACAGTTCCCAGTATGCTGTGCGGCCGTTCTGTGGAAAACCATTAGTGTAGCTAACCGGCTCTCTCCCTCTCTTCTCTCCCTGCAGGAGGCTTTGCAGCTTTCTCCTCCTGCTTCCCCGGCCTGTGCGAAGGGAAGCCTGCCACTGCTCTGCCTATGAGCTTGTCCCAGCCCTGTCTGCCGGTGGCTAACGTAGGGCCCACTCGCATCCTGCCACACCTCTACCTGGGATCACAGAAAGACGTCCTCAACAAGGTAGAATTTATTCCCTCGTTAATTGTCTTCAATTAAAGATGGCTGACTTGTTACCTGGCAGCAGATCATGACCATATACCCTTTGTGTCTCTACCTCTGTAGGATCTGATGGCTCAGAATGGGATCACCTATGTGCTGAACGCCAGCAACACCTGCCCCAAACCAGACTTCATCAGCGAGAGCCATTTCATGCGCATCCCAGTAAACGACAACTACTGTGAGAAGTTGCTTCCCTGGCTGGATAAAACTAACGAATTCATAGGTAAGAGATGGGAAAATACAGTAAAACAAGATATGATGTGTTTGGATTAAAGGTGAAGAGAGAAGTTTGTTCATAAGGAAGTGAATTCATCTCAAGTTATGCGCTAAAGAATGCCGCGATATTCAATACAACACATCCGCACATTGTCCAGGCTGATGAGCATTCACGTGCAGCCCAGGTAACAATAGTGTCGGGTGTAACGCGCCTGTACTCTTCCTGGTAATGTCAGTTCGCTGATTGTCTCCAGAGACTTTCTGCTAAGGAGGAGACCTGTCAGGGATCTGTAGCGCTGTGTGTATTCATGTATAATTGTGTGTATTCATTCGTGTTCGTTTCCCTTCCCGACAGACAAAGCTAAGGTGTCAAACTGCAGAGTCATTGTGCACTGCCTGGCTGGAATCTCACGTTCAGCAACCATCGCCATCGCATACATCATGAAGACAATGGGCTTGTCATCGGATGATGCCTACAGGTACGCTCGCTCCTCCCACCCACCGCCAGCTGAGCTAAGGTGTCAGCCGCAGTAAAAAGACAACTCACGGTCAAAAGAAATGCTAGATGACCCCTTCCCCCCAATTGTGTGAATTGAAATTGTTAGCTGGCTGCCAGGGAGCAGAGTTTGTAAATAAAAGGTTTAGCTTTGCCCTGTCAGGACAACGCTGGCATATTATTCTGTGCTGTGCAGCAGTAAAACTCTTCACATCCTCTGCGTAGGTCATTTAGGGTAATTCTGACCTTCAAAAGTTATTTACTGTAAAATCTTTTCCTCTGACTTATTTTTTCTGTTTTTCTTCTGACAGGTTTGTGAAGGACAGAAGACCGTCCATATCGCCTAACTTCAACTTCCTGGGTCAGCTGCTGGAGTTTGAGAAGGGCCTGCGATTACTCCAAGCTTTAACCTCTGACGACAAGAAGTCTGACAACAACACCAAGCAGAGCTCAGAGGTCAATGGAGTCACCACAGGCTTCGAGATGAATGGCCACCACAGCAACTACGACTCATCTGTTGCTGAGCCACACATCCCACCAGAACCCAAGCTGCCGTCACCCACATCCCTCCAGCAAGGCTTCAACGGCCTGCACCTCTCTGCGGAGAGGATCATGGACACTAACCGGCTCAAGCGCTCCTTCTCCCTGGACATTAAGTCTGTCTACTCCCCGAGCAGCCCCCACTGCCCCAGCCTGGTGCCCACACACTCTGAAGACGTCCCCAAGCTGTGCAAGCTTGACAGCCCAGGAACAGGCACCTCCAACGGTGTCTGCTCTCCCGTCCTAGACAGCCCCAGCTCCTCTGATTCACCTTTCCCCTCACCAGGCAGCGGGGGCAGCATAGGAGGTTTGGGGCTTGGTGGAGGTGAAGGAGTCCATCGATCTGTTTCATCCTCATCCAGACCCAGAAGAAAAACCAAGCACAGCTGCGGCAGTTCCCCGGTCCACTCCCAACCGCACCAACCTCCACAGTCCCTCAACTTATTGTTGGACCGCAAGAGCCCCAGCCTGGATGAAAACCTGAAGGGCTCCCTGCTGCTCTCACTCCCCTCTGTGCCCACAGTGGGGTCTGGGGCCATGTGGACCAAACATAGAGACACTGTCCAGGCCACCACTCCCGTCACTCCAGTCACCCCAACCACAGATGCTCCCTGGCACTTTGGGGCAGAGGAAGGGGGTGAGGGGGAGATGGAGCTGGGAGGAGGAAGTGGAGGGGGAGAGGAGTCCTCGGTAAGGTTCGGTAGCAGCTCGGCATATGTGGCGTTTGGGTGCAGCGAAGGCGTGCGGTTACGAGAGAAATCGCAGAGGGAGAAGCCGTCGGCACCACAGACACAGAGAGACCACCGGGACTCGACGTCGTCGTCGTCGGTGACCATGTCAAGCAGCTCAAACAACAGCGGACCCGCGTCAGAGAAACAGTTCAAACGGCGCAGCTGTCAGATGGAGTTTGAGGAGGGCATCTCCGAGACGAGGTCCCGAGAAGAACTGGGCAAGATCGGAAAGCAGTCAAGCTTCTCTGGGAGCATGGAGATCATCGAGGTATCCTGACAGATAATGGACATGATCAGAGCTGTCCCTTGGGGGCAAAAATGGACCTGCTTAGAGGGAGAAGAGGACTTATGAGGTGGAGCAGAAGAGATTTTTTTTGTGCTCCCCTCTCAGACAGTGTTAAAGACTCCAACAAAGAGAAGGACACATACAAGCTGAGAGTAAATGTGAAAAGGTTAGCAAGCGAACTAGCTTTCGCACCTGGACAGACAGAGCCTCAGATGTGGTGCTTAGCAGACCATACCCATCCTGAACTCTTGTGAAAATGTGCAGAAAAGTCTGAGGGAGGGGGAGGCAAAGGGGGAGACTGTAGGTACTGAAACTCTTTATGTTTATGAGCTCTGTCACAGATAAAAAGAAAGAACCCAGGGCAAATGTCATGTTGCATCCTTAATATATAGAATTCCCCTATTTTGACAGAGCTCAGACACAAACTGCTTGCCTGTGGTCAAATGTAGTGTGCTTCAGTGGGTGTATAGCTTGTGATTTGAACCAAGCCCCATTTTTCCTCCCAAAGCTTCACCCCAGTGTCAGAGAGCCTCAGAACCTCGCACGGCTATGTCTGCACCCTTCCCGCTGGCTCTGCCTGCTACAGACTCTGCATAACAACATCAACAACAGTGGTGGACTCCTTAACAGCACCGTCTACTCACATTACCACAGCACAAGGCAGAGCGATCCTAAGGACTTGACACAAAGGCGGTACTGCATCCAAACGATGAAGGATCCTCGGCAATCTGTTGATGAAAAGACTGTGACGACGGGCAGCGTTTCCCCCCTAAAGCACAGAGTGTCTCTCCTGACTTTGGCTCCCTTGTTTCCAGTGTTAACAGCGTGACGGGACTGAGGTTTAAGGATGCTGACGGGGGTTCACTTAATGACCCCTCAGCTCCTTCATAGACCCCTCCAAGCCCCCCGCCCACTGCTCCCAGTCACCACCTATGGTCACCACTGAGCATGCACCTGAGAGGCTGACTACAGACAGACAAATACTATATATACAATATGAATATATATAGCAATTTTAATGGACTTCTGTTCAGTTATGGTTTTAATTTATTGTATTGGTTCATTCTGGTAATGAGAAATAATATAATGTTTTGTGGATTTCTTTCTTTTTTTTTTTTTTCTTTTGTTGAATTATTATTATTATTATTATTTGCTGTATGGTATTTATGAACACACACTCATACAAATACACGCATTCAACAAATTCAAGCAAGCAATATGTGCAGTTCCTTCTTTGGGGAGAGTGATGTATGGCTTTGAAATGCACTTTTCTGCTTTCTGGTAACAGTCCAATTGCCATTCACACCTTGGCAAACACGATACTCCGAAAGCCATTCGGAGGGCGACACAGACGTCCCACTAATGAGATTTTTAAGAGCAGAATCTCTGTTTTGGCTCAGCTGCAGTGTGAGTTCATGGATTTATCAAAATTTGAGGGCTCAAGCGTCGACTAAAAAGACTGTTTTGTTTGACTGCGTATAGAGGAAGACACTTTCTCATCACTCGTACACAGTGGAACGTTTTCTGCCAGTTTCATGAGGGCTTGCATAAAAACAACTATATGCAAACAGGCACACATTCTTTCACTAGTTGGAGATTTAAAGACTCAAACCAAGTGTCCTCTCCGAGCCAGCGCCAGTTCATCATTCATCAGAGCGTCCCACCAAAGCCGAAACCAACACACACACACACACCCCATACTGTATGCACTTACACTTATCTCGACACATGTAAAGCAAAGGCCCTACACACACCCTTTTGTTCATTCTCAGGGGATCTTTCAGTGAGCCAAGCCCAACACAGGGTACACAGCTGCTGGTACATCAGCACAATGCATGTCCATAAAGCTCCCTTGCTTTCTCTCTCTGTCATTTTTAATTTTTATTTTTTTTGCTCTTATTTCTTATTTTCCAAAGCTTTGATAAAAACAGCATAACAAAATGGAAATTAAACAAAAAAAAAAGTGAGGATCTTCACATCCTGAGGTGAAAGAATTGAAAAACTTTGCTCTCCTGGTGCGAGACGGTTATTTATTTATGATGTAAAATGTGTTTTTTTTTTTTTTCCTTGGACCCTTGATTAGCTTTACTCTCTGGCGATCTCTGACTTTTGACCTTATGCTGCTGCAGCTACAGTAAGTTCAGACATAGATTCCTATGTTTCCCCCCCGAGGCTCAAGCAACCTCTCCTCCTCTCCTACGCACCCTCCTCCCTATATTTTTAAGAAATGTTGTTAGAATTATTTATGACATGTAACAAGGATGATGCAGGCTGTCCCATTTGCTAAAATTGTTGTTATTGAATTATTATTATTATTATTATTATTATTATTATTATTATTATGTTGTGTAAATAGCAACGCATCTAAGAACACTGATGAATTTAGATGAGTTTTTAAAAAGAAAATCCTGATACCTTAGGCTGCTTGATGCAAAAATACCTCAGGTTCTATTGAAAGGCTTTTCCTTCCCCTGTACATGTTTTGTGAAAATGAGACAAAAATACAGACATGACAAAATACAAACTCCTCTCTGCTTCTTCTTCTTCTCCTCCTTCCTCCTCCTCCTCCTCTTCTTCTTCTTCTTCTTGTGTGTTCGCATGGGGGTTTGTAAACAGTGCTGGGAAGGGAATTCCGCCATCGGACCAACAACACATTACGACATCCACAGTCCTGGAGACTCGCTATTGATTTTGTGTTTAACAAACTCCACTCCGACCACACAACACAGCTTCATTGATTTTCTTTTCCTCTCCGGCATTGCCAGTGCCACACGGTTCCATATGCTGGTGAATTATTTAATAGAGACGATGCATTCGGAATTGCTTTCGAGAAAAACACGTCCATCCCACATCAACTTTAGACTGGATTGTTGCTTCTTGTTCAGGATTGAAAGTGATGGAAGGATGGAGGAAAGTACGGGTAGCAATCAAAATCATGATTTCTAAAGTATCATCAGCTAAATATACTTAAGTATAAAGCCACAGCCAGGAGTGGGTTAGCTTAGCTTAGCAAAAGGAAACAAACAGCCAGGTAACAAAATCCACCTACAGCACTGCTAAAACTAACAGACTATCAAATATTTTGTTTAATCTGCTCACATACATATCAAAGTGCAACAAAAGAAAAGTTGATATTTTGGGAGGACAAAAAAAAAAAGATCCAAGCTAGCTGTCTCCTTGTTGCTAAACTACGCTAACTATTGCACATCAAAAAAGCAAATACTTACCAAAAGTGACCGTTCACTCTGAAGGATGGAGTACAGTAATACTCAAGTACCTCAACATTATACTTAGTTACTTGCTTGATTGCATTTAGACTTATAGTTACAGCTTCTCTGAAAATTTTCAACATACAGAAAATGAAAATAAATATTGAAAAATCATAAATATAAAGGATTATTGGGACAGTGGACCAGCTCTGTCCATAGGTGGGGTTGTTGAGGGGGTCATGGGAGTTGGACCATCCAGTTCACATTTGTGCGTGGACTCAATAAAAGCCACAGGGCATCAGGGTACCTGGACCGTTATAACAAGCCTTCCGGTCCTTGTACAACCAAAGTGTTCGTATTCTTGGCATGAAATCAAACACGTTTCCAGTAGGTGTTGATCTCTGCCAGGGTTGCCCCTTGTCTCTGATCCTGATCTTCTTCATGAAATTCCTGAATAGGATCTCAAGGTGGTGCCTGTGTTAGGGGTGTGTCTGGTTTGGGAACCTCAGACTCATGGCTCTCTGTAGAAAAGCAGTGGAGTTTAAGTATCTCTGGATTTTCTACACCAGTGATGAGAAAACACCGTCCGGTATCCGGTACCAAAGTTTCGTGGTGAAGAGGGAGCTGAGGCGGAAGGTTAAGCTCTTAAAATTGCTGCTAGTCAATCTATGATCCAAACCTCCCCTATGGTTATGGAATCTGAGTAGTATCTGAAATAATTTGTTCACGGATACAAGCGGCAAAAGTGAGTTTACGCCATAGGGTGGTCCGGCTCAGCCTTAAAGATCAGGTAAGGAGTTCGGACATTCGGAGGTAGTGGACTCCCTACTCCTTCGTGTTCCTGGGTGCTATTATTTGGAGGTTTTCCAGGAATGTCCACCAGCGAGGAGACCCTGAAGTAGGCCCAGAATTTGCTGGAGAGACTTCATATCTCAGCTGGCCTGGAACACCTTGGGATCCTCCAGGAGGAACTGGAAAAACATACCAGTCAGTCAGAACTGATGAAGCCTCTCGGATGAGAGGTGAAACGTCTTCAAGAAACTTAAGCAAGTCCAGTTGTTACGATTAATCTACGAGAATATCCATGACCTGGATGACTGAGAATCTTCACAGACATCCTGGGAAAAGGAACATCTTAAACCCCCCACTTAGCTGGATCCCGACAGTGTTCATTCACAACTAAAGAAAACGTGGAAACGGCACAAACTTGAATGTGCCTCCATCGATGATACTTTCCCACAGGGTTGAAGAGGCCTGAGGCACAAGACAGAGGAATATGGAAAACCATACACTCATAGAGCTTTTATTAGAAACACCTGCACATCGTGATGCACCCCAGTACAACAGCTGGTGCCATGAATCACACGTGTATCGAGGTCTCTTCCATTTTTGGTTGTCAGAAATGTGGTGACTGCAATATATTGAAAAATGTTCCTAATTTTGCCTACATTAGTATGCACATACTTCATAGAAACAGTATTTACGGCAGCGTTGTTGTGTTGAATTGCATTAGATTGCCCAGGTGTTGCACAGCATGTGCAGATACACGAACGTCTAAAAAACAAGGAACCTCTTCGCCACGCCTCCGAATAACGTCACCCCGTCGTTCCCTATTTTCTCCCAGATTGACTCATTGTCTGGTATTATCCTTTTGCTTCCTCTTCTCACTGCCAGCACACATACGACAAGTTTTCAGGTCTTCACCCGCCTGCCTGCCCGCCCGCTCCACCTCTTCCTTATCCGACTGCGTCTGTGGGCCAACTGGCGAGGGCGCGGTGTTTGCCAATGATGTGATGTGTTTGAACAGTGCTTACCTCCAGGGGATGAGAGAATGAGATGAGGTAGTGGTGTGTTTGTGTGAGAAAGAGAAAGACAAAGAAAGGTATTTGCCCCCAGAGGATACAGCGTACACCGATGTTGCAAAAAAACAGCGTCCAAATCCAGCGGGGGGCCAGTTCATTGCATCCCCTCAATGGGGGCTTGACTACAAAGGCAGTTTTGGTTTCATGATGTCATGGTGGAATTTCACCTCGCGCAATCAAACAACATCTCTCGGCAAACAAAGCGTCACATCACTCCCCGAAGCTCCGCCGTTCAGGTTAAATCTGGGCCGAACAACCGGCGTGTTGTTCTGGGGCTTGACGAGTGAGGTGAGGAAGAGCGAGGAAGATGAAGCAAATCCTTTCAACACACACAAAAAAAACACAAACAACATGCAAAACCAGATGGCCCGTAGCCCTTTTTCTCCGAGGACAATGCTGTCTTAATGAGCGTTTCAACCGAGACCAATAGGAGACAGGCGGAGGTAATGGCATTACCAGCGTCTCCAGCTGAGTCGCTCGGCTTTTCTGGTGCGTCTGTCTTTATTTTATGGCCGTCATGGGAATTCCCCCTGACAAGACCACCGCGGTTATGAAATACACTCATTCTCCCCACCGTGAGCATCCTGCCCGCCATGTCGCTGCGTGTATTTATCACCTGGATCATAACAGATAATCCTTTTGCAATATGCTTCCTCAGTGTGTGTGTGTGTTTTTCAAGGTGCCCTCAGCTCGTATTATATGGATCTGCATCTCGGGTAACCTGCCGTGTCTACAGTCTTTCCTTGGTTGTGCTGCAGTCTGCACTTCTGTGCAGGTTTCCTGTTGCCAATGTTCAGGGCCCTGAAATAGCTTACAGATTCTTTTTTTTTTTTTGTAGCTTTCATTTATTTCTTAACTTCATTCAGTAGTTCTTTACTTCACATGTTGTTTGCTTGTTAAAACACATATATGGGAGGGTGAAGGCGAGTGGAAGAATGCATATATGTGCATGTAGATGCAAAGTGTGTCTAGAAGTGGGATGCATATCTGTGTGACCAGATTTTTATGCAAGTGAGATGAGTGTATGTGGATTTGTATGGACATAATGGTGTGGTAGACGGACTATGACCAACCAGTAAAGTGTTTTGGCATAAATACTGAAGTATTATAAAGACCTGTGTTAGGTGCAGCACTGATTTGATTGCACATAATGAATAAGTGGGCTGCAAAGTGGCTCGGTGGTTTGCGTCCCGGTGAGGACACCCGGGATCTTTCTGCGTGGAGTCTCCATGTTCTCCCCGTGCAGCGTGGGTTCTCTCCGGGTTCTCCGGCTTCCTCCCACAGTCCAGAAACATGCTGAGGTTAATTGGTGATTCTAAATTGTCCGTAGGTGTGAATGTGAGTGTGCTTGGTTGTCTGTCTCTAAGTGTAGCCCTGTGATAGACTGGTTACCTGTCCAGGTGAACCTGCCTTCACCCTGAGTCAGCTGGGATAGACTCCAGCCCCCCATGACCCTAGTGAGGATTAAGCGATGTATAGATAATGGATGGATGGATGGATACAGTTAGCCCTGACGTCCTGAGACTCTGTGTGCCCTCCTGTGCTGCGGTAACTTCACAGCTTTCAGTAAAACTCTGATATTATGCAGATGCACCAGACAGTAGAAACACAGATAAACTGAAAACCCATCAGAATCCGATGGAGTTTATTCTCTGTGTGACGAACATCAGGCTCGCGGAGAATGATCAGAAATGTGGATAAGGCTTCTGCACCGCATTGTGATTTCTGTTGAAGTGTTCTGGCTAGCATCTCCAGCGCTCTGAAACCAGGATGTGGAGTTTACGAGTGCAGCACATTACAGGAAGCGGAATATTCAAGAAACCCAATCATTAATCATGAATGGTGTCAAATCCTCTTTAGAGTGCAGCCGTCCTCTCTTCGAAATAGACTCTCCAAATCTGTGCAGCTCTGCTGGAGGGGTGGACACCACTCCTCCAGATCCTGTGACGTATCTGGCAGAGATGCACCGTTTGACTCCAAATTAAGTTTGGCTGAGATCTGACAGATTTGAATTCAATAATGTAGGTTCATGCTATTTTTGCACTCACCAAACCGTTTGCGGAGGCCTCTCTATTTGTTTCTGCAAGTTTGTATGAATGTCTACAGCGTGTGTGTGTGTTTGCATGGATGTGTGTGTTATGAGTGTTTATCTACAACCAATGATGTGCATGTATATGAGCACTAACGGATATATGAATGAATAAATGGTCGTGTTTTGTGTTGACAGTGCTGTTTTTTTGTAACAAGCTAATGAAAGCTGAGCTCAGCATCTCTATAAGTGCATGAACGTATGTTGCATAATATTACGTGTCAGCGTGCATGTGTGTGTGTGTGTGTGTGTGTGTGTGTGTGTGTTGCAGTGTGTTTCCTCCCTCTCACAGTGGCTGATGGGTACCAGACGTAAGCCGAGGGGCTGCCTGGCGCCTCGTCCCAGGCCTTCTATATGGAAACAG